TTTGCGCTGAGGCCAAAGCTATTCTACTAACTGACCTTGGATTCTGCTGACCTCCAGAGGGAGCCCTGTGGCAGCCAAATCTGAGATTCATCTGTGAAAGGGCCAAAAGTAATTTTGTTTCAAATGCCAAAGCAATGTTTATGGAGTGAGGCAATATTTCTGATAACCGAGACCCAAATGTTGGTGTTCAATGGATTAAAAAGATCAATGGTAGCAATTTCAGAATAGTGAGCACTTTTAATAAGTAAGCAGTTTGGGGCTACACCAATGTAGCCTCCTGAATTCATGGAGAGGAACAAGTGTTCAAGCAGAACGATCTCTAATACAACCATTTGCCTCTTCTATGTTTTGACAAATAGCAATTATCTGAATCCAGCCAACTGTGCTACCTGAGAAATTCTTTGAGCTAAAAACATACAGTGACTTAGAGTAACAACAACTCTAGACAGCCACAAAAGCCTGCTTTGCTGGTGTTTTATGATATACACGTTGCATAAGCCATTGTGAGATCTTGAAACTCAACATTCTCCTCCACCATGTCTTTGGTGGAAGGAAGAGTGATTTAGAAAAAAAAAAAATCTACCATGTGACAATATAAAGGAGCAGAAAATCTGTTATTTAAAATCAATAGAGAATCTAAAGTCTGAACATTGGTTCATCAGTCTTGAACTAAAATGACCATGTAATAATCCTGCAGTGCTTTGGAGGTCATAGTGAGGCTCTGACCAAGGGCTCATGGTTTTCATGTTTGCATTCTTTTGAGGATCTTTTATCCTATTCTTTGAGGATAAGAGTGATAAATGCAGTACTACTGCTTTTTATTTATATTATACTTGTCATTCAAAGCAGTCTGAAGACTTTCAAAGAGTAGATATACTTTTACACTAAATATCATAAATACTTTTGAAACAAGGCAGGTTATTAATTAAACAAGTAACTCACTTGCATACTAATGTACAATGCATGTGTTTCTACTTTTTAAACGTGGTTCAGCTGAAAGACAAAAACTTATAAACTTAGGACCATTTATATTATTCAACCAAGTACTGTGCTTTCTGAGCTATAAATTCTCATCATAAAATATCAATTTTTCTGGTATCTACCCCAAACGCACTAGTTGATAAGATTATTTACCTGTGACATGCCATTCCACTCTACCCCCTGAGAGTACAAAGACACAGGTTAAGCAAAGAGAATATGGGAAAGAAGGAAGAATCCAGACCAACAAAAATAGTGGTGTTTTTTTTTTCATTTAAATTCAATTAGCCAACATAGAGTACATCATTAGTTTTTGATGTAATGTTCAATGATTCATTAGTTGCGTATAACACCTGGTGCTCATCACATCACGTGCCCTCCTTAATGCCCATTACCCAGTTACCCCATCCCCCCATCCACCTCCCTTTCCGCAACCCTCAGTTTGTTTCCCAGAGTCAAGAGTCTCTCATGGGTTTTCTCCCTCTCTGATTTCTCCTTCAGTTTTCCCTCCCCTCCCCTATGAATCTCTGTACTATTCCTTATATTCCACATATGAGTGAAACCATATGATAATTGTCTTTCTCTGATTGACTTATTTCACTTAACATAATCCCCTCCAGTTCCATCCATGTCAGTGTAAATGGTAGGTATTCATCCTTTCTGATGGCTGAGTAATATTCCATTGTAGATATGAACCACATCTTCTTTAACCACTCATCTGTTGAAAGACATTTTGGCTCCTTCCACAGTTTGGCTATTGTGGACATTGCTGCTATGAACATTGGGGTGCATGTGCCCCTTCTTTTCACTACATCTGTATCTCTGGGGTAAATACCAGCAGTGCAATCGCTGGGTCGTAGGGTAGCTCTATTTTTAACATCTTTTGGAACCTCCATACCGTTTTCCAGACTGGCTGTACCAGCTTGCATTCAATAGTTGCATCTCTTTGACATCACAGAGAGTCAACAAGGGACAAAGCTTGAATTTCATAGAAATTCTACTTCATTTTTAATCAAATTGCAAGTGAAAAATGCCAAATTATTCACCTCTTTTTTGACTCAACCAGACTTCACTTTCTATAGGCTGACTCCTTGCTTTTATTTACAATCAAAAGGCAAAGTATATTATGCCCATTATGAACTACTAACTTGGTAATGTTTCTGAAAAATAAGACTATGGCTTACTATAGCAGATTCTTACTATGGCTGATACAGCTGGTGTTATTTTATATATTCCTGTAACAACACTGCTTTCCGCTATATTGGCTTATTTCCAGTGGAAATTGGTGAGTCAAAACAGAGACTCCTCCCAGAGCAGGCATGTGACCCAACATGCAATGTAGGAGCCCAGGAATCTCCTTAACTCAATCAATCACAGGGTCACTGCCCAGTGCTGACTCGATGCACAACTGTGGGACACAGAGGAACCAGGTGACAAGTCTCCCCTGGTATTGTCACTAGTCCCTTGTTTGTCACTAGTCCCTTGTTTGTCACTAGTCCTCTTGTTTGGTTTCATCAGCCCTCAGGAAAGATATAATGAATGAAATAATGGAGTAAACCAGATCTATTTAAGGAGATTAGGCTTATTTACCTTGATAAAAGGACTTTTAAAATATTCCATCTAAAAAAGTCAAACTCAGGGAAACAGAATAGAGTGGTGGTTACCAGGGATTGGGGGTGGGGAAAATGGGAAGTACATTGGTCAAAGAGTAAACATTTACAGTTACAAGATTAACAAGTTTGGGGAGCTAACGTACAGGATTGTGATTATAGCTAATACTACTGTATCATATACTTGAATGTTACCAAAAGAATGAATCTTAAACATTCCCACCACAAAAAAAAAAAAAAAGTAATTATGTGACAGGATGGAGGTGGTAGCTAATGTTATAGTGGTAATCATCTTTCAAAATATAAATGTATCAAATCACCATGTCCTATACCTTAAAATTACACCATGCTATGTGTCCATTATATATCTCTATCTCTATCTATCTATCTATCTATCTATCTATCTATCTATCTATCTATCTATCTATCTATTTATCTATCTATCTATCTAATTTCAGACACCACCCCATACCTCCGACTCTGCAGTTGGGGCCCAGGAATCTATCTTTATGACATTCCCAGAGTAGTTACTCACCAGGTTTAAAAATCGAGGGCTTAGATTTTCAAATGCACTCCCAAATCCTACTCATATTTTTAGGTTTAAATCTATTTCTTTCTCCTTTCTCAGGTCTTTATATTCACAGAATGAGTGTTGAATAATTTCTTGCATTGCTTACTAGAAGTTTGTTTCATTTGACAAATGAAGACACAAACTCAGGGATGTTAAGTACTTGGTTCAAGGTTACACAGTACACTAATGGAGTGCCAGGGCTAGAAAGCTGTCTGTTTTAGCCTCTGTGGTTAGTTGACTATTCCTCTTCCCTTCTTTTCCTCAGCTTTATATCCATGCATAAGGAAAATGGAGGCACCTAGGGGCTTCCTTGAAAAATCAGACATAAATCAGGGTAAATGTAGATATTAATCTCCAAGCAACACTTTCTCTCAGAGAGAAACCTACAGAATGAAAAATACTTATGACACATATCAACTAAAGACAGTGTGTGGACATTGGGGTCCCAATTTGAACAAAATGTAAATTTGTTTTTAAATTATGGGACATCAGGAAAATAAGAACACCACCTGAATATTCCATTACATTAAGGAATTGTGTTTAAATATTAAAAGGCTGACAATTTCATTATGGCTCTATTTTTCAAAGTCCTTGCATTTTAGAAATACTTATTGTAATATTTACGAATGCAACAATCTCTGGGAAGCTTCAAATCCAGTGGTGGGGTAGGGGGCAGGAGTAGCTGTGATGAGACAGATTTGAAATAAGATTGACCATGAGCTGATGATTGAATCCAAGTGATGGTGCACAGGACTTATTATGCTATTCTTTCTACCTACTCACATATATGTTTTAAATTTCTCACTATAAAACTTTTTTTTTTAAGAATCCATTTCTCTCAAGGGCTGGCTTACAATTTTGTGGGTTATTTGACTTACCTATATAATAATAGGCTTATTAGTGAGGTCCACAACTTGATAGAATATCAATAGCTTTATGCCTTCACCAGCCTCCACCATGACTGTAGGAGATAAATGCCAACCATTAAAGCAGAAACTATGGTTCTCTAGTAACAGCAATCTCTTTCCAAGCAGCTACATACTTCTATAACCTGTTGCACTGTGAGAGACCTAAAACTGCAATAGGTAAACTATTAAAATGATGAAAACAGTTTAATAAATAATAGTAATTGTGAAAGAGCAATCACACAGATCATAAGAGTTTTCATAACTCAGAGTATGCTTGGGAAATTGTTGTTAACTGTGTCAAAGTAGAAGGAGGATGCACCCAGATCTGGCTAGGGGGTAACCTAGTTAAGGTGTCAGGTTTAGCACCAATTTCCAATATGCCCAGGAAGCTGCAGCACCCAGACTTTGAGGCTGAATACTCTGCCTTTCTCCTTTGTCCCAGCCCACCACCTCCATTCAGAATCTACAGAGCTGTGAATCTTAAAGGGCAGGATCTACTAGCATTCATTACAACTTCAGAGGTAGCAGGGTTCCCAGTTAAATGAAAGGTGTTCAGGGTTTGTTTTTTAAACAATAATTAAATATTCTATTATTTCAATGAATATTTCAATGAAATATGCTATTTCAGCACAGGAAAACCCTGGAAAAAGCTTTGTTTTATGACCTAGAAGTGGAAATAGAGAGTCTAAGGGGAAACAGAGGTAGATTTCTGGGAAGATAATGTTTTATGTGTTTATTTGTCTTCCAGAACTCCAAATAGTTGCGTTGGCAGGCAGGCTGCCCTAGAACTGCTCCCTTCTGAAGACTCAGAGGTGTTTACAGAAACTGAAAGTTCCAGCAGTATATTTCCATGAGCTCATTACCCGTTCCGATGATATCCTTTAGATGTTGCATGTGCAAATGAATATCCATGCAGTATAAACCCCTGCTCTGAGCTTTTGTTTTAATTACAAAGTAGCAGAAGTTAGATATGTGATTACTGTAACATCAGGGCATCTTTTTAGAATCCCTGCTTTGGTCACTATTATTCAAAGCAACTCCAATGCCATTTCTTGCCTGCCTCTTTATGCTAATCAGCCTAGCTCACTCGGCTCCTCCTCCTTCAGCTTCCCTTAAGAACTGTTCACTTTCAGCTGTCACGGAGGGTAACTCAGACCAGGCTTAGAAATCACTTGATTTAACTCAGCAGCACTTTTTAAATTTTGTGTCTATTACTCTAGCAGTCCTCTCTAAATACCAGAGGCATTAGGTTTCATGTCAGCAGATGAGTCAAAAATTGCCAAAACGGTAATTGGTTAGAGATAGTTATTTTGTAGCATTTTACACTGGGGGAGGAGGGGGGCGGGAAGCTTCAAAGTGCTTTGAAATGAAAGAAGAATTAAGTTGTGCTTTTATCCAAACGAATTGGCATCTTTATTTGTAGGGGCGGTTATGCTGGTAAATATTTATTTCAAGAATCATGACTTGGAAGCGCTTGGAAGTTTATTAGAGAGGTAAATGTTTTACACTCATGGACAGGATCTGCATGTACCTCTGTGGCTCTGGGTGTCTGGTGAGGACCATTTTAGGTGACTGACCAAGGGAAGGAAATGCCTTAGTGAGACTGGAGTCACAGCCATATTGCCACCACCATGTCTACCATACAAAGAAAAGGCAGAAGCCACCTGTTTAACAGTTTGTACGCCTGTAAACTGAAGCTTCCAGAAGACCAGCGACAGCAAGGTGAGTCAGCCAGGCTAATGGGCTGTGTGTTCGGTGATCTCCCAGCCATTCGCATTCCAAGAAGAATGGTAAGCTGGCGAAGTACCTGGGGAATCTCTGGTTGTGAAATGCTTTATGATCTTTGATTTTTTTAACTCTGAGAATAGATATACTAGTGATGCATAAGGGTGAGTTCGCTTGGATTCACTATTGGTTTTTAAAGGACTATGGGAGACTATCAAGAAGGCATATTTCTTGGACTTGTCATTCTGCAGCTTATGGGCTTAAACTTCAGGTCACTGTCATTTTTCTAGAGTATGCTAGACTTGTGTAATTCAAAACGTCCATCCAGGCAAGGCGGCATCAGCTACTAGGGGAATCTGCTGAGAGTAGCTTTAAGTGAGCCTGGAACTATCTTCCCTGTCCTGTCACTGATGGCTCGCTTTGGGATTTCAAGTTTAAACCTCATTTTTGCCCAGGTCTCTGACTCATTCATTTGTGGGAAAAATAAATATATTTTTGACTCTTCCTGTTAGGATGTAGGAAGAGCTGGAGACAGACAGGGAAAAGTGTCACATTTCACATGCTGGGTCCTCATTCAGACTCAACTATCTATCTGGCAGCCCCATTTTCACCATCAGTCTTTTTAAAATTTCAAATCCACTACCCAGCTGCATCGAGTAGTGGCAGAGGGTGGACATGAATAGACCAGATGATTCCTCCAATCCATTCTGTCATGGACAGCAAAGGACACTTGAGAAAAAGGCAGGGTTCTGTCACAGATGACATCGTCACTCCCCAGAGGCTAAGGATTGGTCCCAGACATTTCTAACTTGCCCTCAATAACCACTGATGGATCTGTCTGTGTATGGATCTAGGCTACCAGCTCTTTATTTACTTTTCCATAGACACAGTTTTAGATTTTAGTGGCCTGGAAAGTATTGGCTCATGCGCTGAAACCTCCCATTGCCAAGGTGGATCTGTGTGCTGACATTTGCAAGACAGTGTCAGGCCACCTCCCTGCATTATTCTGGACTTCATGCTGTACAAGCCTTGGCACAGTGTGGGTAGAAAATACTTTATAAGAAATGGAAACAGCAAAAACTTGTGAGACCATTCTGTATCATCAGGGCTTCTCTAAATTATTTTAAACTAACTGCCTTAGCATGTCAAGTCCCGGACTGTGCCAGGGTTCAATCATAGCACTGTAAAATTTTTACCCTTCTGTTAGTAAACTCTAATTCATCATAGGTTTTTGTTGGCTTTTCATTTTGTTTTAAATGCTTAAAGTGACCTCCCCCCTCTATTGCTAGTATAATATTTATTATACAAAATTTGCCAGGGGGAGAATTAAGGAGATGGTAAAAATCATCAGCCAAAGATAGTTGCTATTAACATTTTAATGTATATTCATATACATTACAAATAAATACATATACAAATAGAGTTATTTTATATATAGTTGTTTTGTAAACTGCTTTTTAATTTAATAATTGATTATGAACAGATTTCCATGTCATAAATTCTTCTACAACCTTATTTTTAACAGTTGTATACTATTCCTTTAAATGTAGGTAGCAAAATTCCTTAGACAGTTCTCTATGATGAGACACTTTATTTCTATTTTTTCACCAATACAAACAACACTGTGTTTCACATAAATCATTGCAGAGATAAGATTATTTTCTTGGATACATTCTTAGTGGTAGAACTGTGAAGCCAAAGGATATGTATGTTTTTAAGATTTTGTGGGTTTTTTGGCTTTTTTGTTTTTTTTGCCAATTGGTCCTCCAATTAGAAGTTTAGGGGTATATTCTCAGTAATACTGGGTAATATTTTTAAAAGCTTTTCCCAATTTTGTAAGTGGAAATACTATCTCACTGTTGTTTTCACTGAAAGCAGGCTGTCTTAATATTCTCTCCTCTTATTGGCCATATCCAGAGGACACTGGAAAAATCATTATGATGACATACTTCCCAAAATACCAACAAGACAAGAAGTCTGGTCTCTTTTCTCAGACTGAAGCTTTTGCCTAGAATGTTTTGAAAGCAACCATATTCTTCCACAACCGAGTCTCAAAATATCAGCCCGCATAAACCACAATCCATAAAGTTGAAAAGCATGTTAATGCAATCCAGACCGGCCACTGACTGCTACAAGGACTGTCATCTAGAGATCTGAATTGACAAGTGACACTGGGCAGTGTTTGCTATGCTGCTAAATAGCATTCTACTTACTGTTCGGGAGTTGAAAAGTATTCATTGAGTGTAGTATCCTCCAAGCTATATTTGCACCTTGCTATTATACAAACTTCAGCAAAGGTCCAAGAAAGCAAAGCCGTTAGTTTCAGAGAGTGAGGTCCGCCTGTGGATTTATTCACTGAGGCATTCTGAGTCTGTGGCTTTGGCCTACCCCCAGCCACACCAAGGTTCCAGCTTTTTAACTTAACATACGGATGTGATTAATTGGCATTTAACTCTTCCGAGGGCACAACCAGATTCAACACATACATACTTTCTAGTTCTCCACACTATATGTTGAAGCACTTGTTGTAAAGCTGTACTTTTTGGGTGATCACTTACATAAAAGTCACTTGTTCTTTAGCAACTATCTGAACAATGACTATGCACTGTGCCAGTCACCGGGTACATGAGTTGAATCAAACCAACTAAGCCGTGGTTTCCAGTCCACACAGTGTTTACCTGCTACAGCAACAGATGCTCTAGAGTCCAGAATAGTAGTCCAGGAGGCTCCTCTCTCTACTTGTTGCTGTCTGATAGCTTCTTCTGTGAGAGTTCAAATCCACTGATCTATAACTCTGATCTGAGACCACATTTGTCAACATTAACATGTGTCTGCAAAAACCTCAACAACGTTCAGTACACATTACATGCAGGTACTAGGCAAACTTTACCATATTTATGTTTTATAATGCTGTATACTTTAAAATTTACAAAGTAGATTTCTAAAATGCTTTAAAAATTACAAAATTTTCAATACGTGACACCTCATTTAATTCTTACAATATCAGGTGAGGTGGTGTATTAGTCAAGATTCTCCAAAGAAACAGAATCTATGGGGGATGTGTGTGTGTGTGTGTGTGTGTGTGTGTGTAGATAGATAGAGATAGAGACAGAGATAGAGATAAAGATAGAAATTTATTTTAAATAAATAAAACCTGGGTCGCTCAGTTGGTTGAGCATCTGACTCTTAATTTCAGCTCAGGTCATGATCTCAGGGTCCGGGATCAAGCCCCGTGTGGGGCTCCGAGCTTGGTGTGGCATTTGCTTGAGATTCTCTCCCTCTCCCCTGTCCCTGCCCCCACTTGCATGCTTGATCTCTCTCTCTCTCAAATAAATAAATAGTCTTTAAAAATTAAAAAAAAAAGAAATTTATTTTAAGATATTGCCTCACACAATTAGGGAAACTGACAAGTCCAAAATCCTCTGTGTGGGCCATCAGGCTGGAGTCCCAGGCAAAGAGCGGACCAACGTTGCAGTTAAAATCTGAAAGCACTCTGTTGGCAGAATTCCCTCTTGCTCAGGGCAGGTCAGTCTTTTGTTATATCCAGACCTTCAGCTGATTGGATGAGGCCCACCAACATTCTAGAGGGCAATCTGCTTTACTCATAGTCCACCAGTTTGAATGTAAATTTTATCCAAAAGCACCCTCACAAAAACATCCAGAATAATGTTTAACCAAATATCCAGCACTGTGGTGCAGCCAAGTTGACACATAAAATTAACCATTATAGGTAGGCATCATTATCCTCAATTTCAAAGATGTGGAAACTGGGAATCCTCAAAGTCAAGTGATTTTTCCAAGGCTATATAGTTATTAAGGCCTACTTTCAATGTGCTTTCTGCTATATAAACTGTCTCATAAAATCCATGTTTCCTAGTGTTATAGTGTTTAATTTTTTCCATTGATCCATATCAAAGTAACTTCTCTGCAAACAGTCAAGCTGAATTAGGATTCCTTCTGATTTTGTTTGTTCTGACACCAACTAGGTGTGCTACAATTTAATTCAATTCTGACATTATCCAGAGTTAGTGAAGATTCCAAAACTTACGGGCTCAGTCTCATGAGACTGACAATTTCAAATGCCAGCTACAAAACTTCAGATGTCTCCAGGCCATCTGCATTTGTGCCTGGATGATTACAAATGCAAGCCTTCCCACAACTCTCCCAGGTTTGAAAATTTGCTAGAATGATTCATAGAATCCAAGAAAGACCTATAGCATTTTATTATAAAGGATACAAATGAACAGCCAACTGAAGAGATACATAAGGCAAGGTGTGGGGGGGGTTCTGAGCACAGGAGTTCTGTCCCCATGGAGTCTGGGTCTACCACTCTCCCAGGACATCAGTAAGATCACCAACTAGGAAGTTCCAGTAAGCATGGGTGTCCAGAGTTTTCATATGTGATTTCATTACACAGATGTAATTGATTAAATCATTAACTATGATTGAACTCAATTTCCAGTCTCTCTCCCCTCTCTCCCCCAGGTTGGGGGTAGGAAGTAGGGCTAGAAGTTCCAACTCTATACTTGCTTGGTCTTTTTAGTGTGGCCAGCCCCTCCCTGGAGTCACCTCATTAGCAAAACAGACACCTGACTCTCAGTCAGGAAATTCAAATGGTTTTGAAGCTCTGTGCAAGGAATAGAGAACAAAAACCAGACCTATTCTTTATTACATCACACTTTGGCCATGATTTTCTGGATGAATTCTGTCCTTAATGTCAGGACAGGTTCCTGAAAGTCAAGAAACATAGATTAATGCCTTCAACCATTTACTTATTTAATGCAGTTTTTACCAAGTGCTGGATGCTGTATTAAACACCAGAAATGCAAAGATGTTTTTCTCCCAGGCTTGTTTGCTATCATGTGTTTTTTAAGAGGAATTCTGTAATAAAAACTCAGCTAATGATACTTTTTCAACATTTTGGGTGAAAGAAAAAGTGATTTGATTCTATAATGTTCAGACTTTGCTGCATTCATCCTCATTCTTTGTATTTTAGC